GAAGATTCCTGCAGCACAGAGTAGAGCAGAAGCACACAGAGCAAAATCTTTACTGAGGAACTAAAACCCTGCAGTGTCCACTCTGTGAATAAATTAAAGATTGGCAAGCCTTTTTATTCTCTAGCCCACTAAACACATCCTTTTTCTCTCTCTCATGTGGCCTTTTTCTCTGAATGTATTTTCGCAATACCATGTTCACCACATCCTCAGAAAACTTCTGCTTCTCTTTCTGCTGAAAGTCTTTCTGAATGTCCATTACTGATGTCAGATTTAAAGAACAACCACTGTTTTTGCACATCATATTTCAACAACATATCAACATTTGCAATGTTTTGCTTTGCTTGTTATATTTTTATCAGTATTACTCAAAGATAAAGTGGGTAAGAGAAGTGACTAAAGGAACGTGGTTTCTAGGAATGTGGTTTCTCCATTTCTGATAAACACAGAACCCGTTTGAATGAACGACTAGCAAATGAAAGTAATGTACGATTCAACATTCAAAATTCAGGTGTTTCATTGTGATATGCTAAGTAAAACAGGTGGTAGCACTGTACTATGAAATTCATACTTTGCTAATCATTCGTTCAAAAACAAACACATAAATGAAGAGGTTGGCATAAATAAGTAAACTTAAGTGTTACACTACTTGTGTAGTAACATTCAAAGAACATGAACGTAAAGTTCCATGTGCAGTACTGTGCAAAGAGCAGGGATCAGTGGACCGAAAGTGACAGAGGGCAGCGGTCATAAAATGCCTTTTGCATAATTTCAAATAACAATAGAATGACAACAGCAATAAATGTATGTATGTAGAGTTCAGTGAGTTTCAATAAATAAGGAGTGTGTGTTCAAGAGTTCAACCAGTCAGAGTGAGGAGAAGGGGCAGTGTGTCAAAGAGTTGTTCACAAGCCTGATGGCCTTCTTGCTGTCCTGGAAAACAGAAATACATAGAATGACAAATTCTATGTATTTCTATTGTCCAGGACAACAAGACTCCTGTAGCATCCTAAGAGTAGAAGTGTGAAGAAGCCGAGTTGGGGGATGTGTACTGTCCCTGATGATGTGAAGCCTGACCCTGGTGGGGTAAATGTCCTGTAGGAAGAGGAAGGATGCACCTGAGTTGAACTGTGCAGTTCTGATGACATGCTGGAGAGCCTTCCTTTCCTGAACAGTGCAGTTTCCTACCAGACTCTGATGGAGCCGGTAAGGACACTCTCAATCGCACACCTGCAGAAATTGCTGAGAATTTTGTCTGGCATGCCAAATTTCTTCAACCTTCTTATAAAGTACAGCCTCTGCTGGAACATCTTGATGAACATTCATTTTCTTGGTCTTGTCTGCATTTGCAGAAAGATTGTTGTCATGACACCAGGCCACCTGATCTGCCACCTCCCTCCTGTAGGCTGTCTCGTCCCCACTAGTGATCAGTCCAGTGACTATAATATCATCAGCAAAGTTGATGATGCTGGTGTTCTTCTGGGAGGTCACACAGTGATGTGTAAAAAAGGTGTACAGCAGGGGTCTCAGCACACAGCAGTGGGGGGTCCCTATGCTTACAGGTTCTGTGCTGGATGTGCAGTTGCCAATTCTGACTGACTGGGGTTCATCTATAAGAGTGTTCAGCACTTAGCTGCAAAAGGGAGGGGGTCGTCTGAGGGTGAGGAGCTTTTCAGAGAGTTGGTGTGGGATGACCATAGTGAATACTGTGCTGCAGTCAATAAACAGTGCTTCAACATTGGTGTCCTTGCCCTCTGGGTGTGTGAGGGCTGTGTGAATGGCATTGCTGACTGCATTCACCAGTGGACCAGTTCTGACGGTACGCAAACGGCAGAAGGTCCAAGCTGTCTTGAATGATCTCCTGGATGTGAGTCATGAATATCTTTTCAAAACAGAGGGGTACAATGGTGGTGGACTTGAAGCAGGTGGGTACAGAAGCTTGCGCGAGGGACAGATTGAATATGTCTGCAAGCACATCAGCCAACTCTGATGCACAAACCCTGAGTGCACACCTGAGAATGTTGTCTGGGCCAGCTGCCTTCCATGAGTCTGTTCTCCTCAGTGCCCTTTCCACATCTGCCATCTGCAATCGGTTTTGTGCACTCTCTGTAGCAAAAACCCCCTTTGTCGTCGATACTTAGGGCCTCAAAGCAAGCATAGAACCCATTCAGCTCATCTAGCAGAGTGGTATGGCTAGTTCTGACACTCTTCCTCCTCTGCTGAAAATTTGGGATGTGTTGCAGGCCATGCCACAAGTGGCAGGAGTCCACAGTGGTGTAGTATCCTTTCAACTTCAATCTGTCTTGTCTCTTGGTTTCTTTGATAGAACTATATAGGTTATAGCTGGCGCTTTTGTATGGACCGAACTTCACAGTTTACCAAATTTTCACAGAACAGACCAAAAGAAAAGTTTTAAGAAATATGAATATGTCATAGTGATTCCCAAATATCCTGAACAAGGATGGTCATGAGAAACACTCAATACTAAATCCCAAAACACAGGAAAAACTATCTTGTAAACTGTGTCTTGAATATTTGCTTGAAATGCCCAGTAATGCCCATTATGCATTGAAAAATTGTTGTCTAAAATGAAAGCTACCTGCAACCATGTTGAAAGTGAGACATTTTACCATTTCATAAAAACATTAACTCATTTAGAACTTGATGGCAGCAATGCATCTCAAAAAAGTTGGGACAGGGGCAACAAAAGGCTGGAAAAGTAAGTGGTACTAATAAAAAACAGCTGGAGGATCAATTTGCAATTAACTCACATAACTGAGTATAAAAATAGCATTTTAGAGAGGCAGAGTGTCTCAGACTCAAAGATGGGCAGAGGTTCAAGCTCTAAATTAGTTAATGTTTTTCATGAAAGGGTAAAATGTCTCATTTTCAACATCTGATATGTGTTCTATGTTCTGTTGTGAAAAAAATATGGGTTTATGAGATTTGCAAATCATTGCATTTTGTTTTTATTTACATTTATTTACATTTTACACAGTGTCTTGTATAATTGTGGGTTGTATATTTGTGAGTCGTATGGTGTGTATTAAAGCTGGAAAGTGAGCTACGCATGCAGCAAATAAATGTTATATCATTGCCACACAAGGAAAACTGGAATTTTCATCCTAAAAAATAACACCATTTTTATTAAAAAAAAAACAAAACAAAATTAACCAATAGAAAAATAAATGAAAATGCTGTATTTGTTGTTGCAACACCACATAAACATGTGCCACCGAAGTGCAACCTCACTGCAAGCTCCATCCACAAGCAGCCCCAAGAAGCAAGCCAGGAACCCGGAATCTCCTCCTGGGCCACGCCTCAACCTCAGAGCCGGTTCACCACAGAGAGACTGCCCAGGCTTCAAGCTCCATCCTCGGGTAGCTGAGCCGTCCAGAGCTGTTCATCGACCGTGGTGCATTGCCTGTGTGAAGTCCCCACCAAGGCTCCAGGGCCAGCGACGGAAAGCCAGCAGGTGAGCTCCAGCCGGTTCTCAAGCGACCCATCTCGGAGGACCCATAGTCCGGTTTCCCGACTCCAAAGTTGCTCTATAGATCCTTTGTCCTTAAGTTTCGAGTTGCTTTCCCAAGAAGCGCCCTCAGCCTTCTTTTCATACCATTTTAAACTGTGAAATGTTACATTACCTGAGCCATTCCTTTGTTTGTTTATTTCTTTTCTTTTGTTTATTAACCAAGTTCTCCAACTGTAGTGTCATATTTAGCCAATAAAGTTCACTTTTGATTGAAGCATCCTCGGCACAAGTGTCTGTCTCTTCCCCGCATTGGTCTGTAGACTTTAAACTAAATCCAAGTTACTCTGACTTCCTCTTAAGTTTAAGCAATAATAATCTTATTCATAATCAAATTAAAACTGCAATAACCGCAACACGCCTCACTGTTGGCCGTGAAGACACCCAGTAACCAGGGGCAACCAAAGATGACAAACTGGGTGATGGTTTTAAAGAAAATAGTCCTACAAAGAGAAAAAAGAGAGGATGGACATTCTGCTGATGTTTGTGTCTGTTTGGAGTAGAAGTTTAGGGTTTTCTTTCTTTTCTTTCTATTTGTTTCGGAATATGGTCCAAAAGTTTGAATGACTAAGTATTTAAAAATTGCAAAACTTTAAGGTAGCATTTCAGTTTAGGTTTGCATTATAATACCTTTATAATGATATTAAGACTTATCAAGCCAGTAGTTGGGAATTAACCGGAAATTCATTACTAACTGGATAAATAAATGGATTTAAAAACAGTGGCATTTCTTCACAAGATCTTAAGAAAATGATGTCTTTATCCCGGGGGAACCAGTGTTTGCAATGTTGTAATAATGACATAAATAACTCAAGATCTCGAGAAAACATAACAATTATTAACTCGGGCCATATCTATGTTTTTAGACTTGGAATTCTTATTGTTTAAGTGTAATCTTGCAGTCAGAGTTATCAAATATCATATGGGACAAATTCTTTATTATAGAGTCATTTATAGAGGTATTTTAGATCAAATCTCAAATTATAAGCTATAGTATATTAATAATGCTTTATTGAAATTTAAATTATACCATCAAAAAGATAAATTTCACCAGTTTCATAATTCAGATTGACATCTGCCTGTAACATCAGACTTCATAATAATAATCATCTTACATACTATTTATATATATATATAAAAAAAAACGAAATGCTTATTTAATAGACCAAAAAAGACCATAACATAATTTAAGATGAATGGCGTGTGTTACCTGGTTTGTTTTATCTGTGAAACTTGACTGTTCAGGCGAGCCAGAGAAGATCGCAGACTGATAGTAATCAAACTGAAAAGGATCATGTTGGACTTCTATCCTTATCAAACCTCTCTTGTCTTCAGGTACATACTGTGTTTATCAACAGTCAAAAAACAGCATGTATAAAGATAAACTAATAAATACAGTGACAATATAAAGCTATTTCTGTTAGTTACAGATAAGAATGCAGTCATTCTGTGGTATTAAAAATCAGAAGAGAGGCTAACGGCTCTTTGGTCCAGCAGTGATGAAGACAGACTGCAGTCGTGTAGACTCACCTGAAGATTCCTGCAGCACAGAGTAGAGCAGAAACACACAGAGCAACATTTTTCATGAGAAACTGAAAAACTCTCTCTCTCTTTATCTCCGATTCAGCACTGTCCACTCGGAGAGTAAATCAAAGATCAGCAGTCATTTTTATTCTCCAGCTCATTAACTGCATCCTATTTATACTCTCTCTCTCTCTCTCTCTCTCTCTCTCTCTCTCTCTCTCTCTCTCTCTTTTGCATACTTGTGGCCATGTTCACCACATCCTGAGAAAACTTCTGCTTCACTTTCTGCTGAAAGTCTTTCCGATGACCCATTACTAAAGTCAGATTTGAAGAACAACCACCACTGATGGTGTTTTTGTACAGCAAAGTTCAGAATATTGTTTAGTAACTCTCTTAAATACTTCACAAAATTGTAATGTTTTGCTATATTTGAGCAGTTTTCACCTTGGGGCAACATTCATTTTCTTGGTCTTGTCTGCATTTGCAGAAAGATTGTTGTTTTGACACCAGGCCACCTGATCTGCCACCTCCCTCCTGTAGGCTGTCTCGTCTGTTTTGTGGCCTCTGTGTAGCAAAAACCCCCTCTGTCGGCCGATACTGAGGTCCTCAAAGCAAGCATATCACCCATTCAGCTCATCTAGCAGAGTGGTGTGGCTAGTTGTGGCAGGTGTCCACAGTGGTGTAGTATCCTTCCAGCTTCAATCTGTCCTATCTCTGTGTTTCTTTGATAGATCTATGCAGGGCATATCTGTCTCTTTTATATTCTTCAGCATTGCCTGAGACAAATGCAGCGTAGCAAGCGCATAGCATGGACCGAACTTCACAGTTTACTAGATTTTCACAGAGCAGACCAAAAGAAAAGTTTTAAGAAATGTGAATACAGTATGCCATAGTGAATCCCAAATATCCTGAACAAGGATGGTCATGAGAAACACTCAATACTAAATCCCAAAACACAAGAACAACAATCTGGTAAACTGTGTCCTGAACATTTGCTTGAAATGCCCAGTAATGCCCATTATGCATTGAAAAATTGTTGTCTAAAATGAAAGCTACCTGCTACCATATTGAAAGTGAGACATTTTACCATTTCATGGAAACATTAACTCATTTAGAACTTAATGGCAACAACACATCTCAAAAAGGTTGGACGGGGCAACAAAAGGCTGGAGGTTCAAGCTCTAAATTAGGTAATGTTTTTCATGAAAGGGTAAAATGTCTCACTTTCAACATCTGATATGTGTTCTATGTTCTGTTGTGAATAAAATAAGGGTCTATGAGATTTGCAAATCATTGCAGTTTGTTTTTATTTACATTTATTTACATTTTACACAGCGTCCCAACTTGTATAATTGTGGGTTGTATATTTGTGGTGTGTATTAAAGCTGGAAAATGAGCTATGCATGCAGCAAATAAATGTTATATCATTACCACACAAGGGAAAAAATATATTTCCATTATCATTCATATCATTCATTATTTACTAACAGAATAATATGCATAGACTGGGATTTTCATCCTAAAAATTAACAGTTTTTATTTAAAAAAAAAATAAAAATAACCAATAGAATAATAAATGAAAATGCTGTATTTGTTGTTGCAACACCACATAAACAAGTCCTCAGTGCCTATGGAAAAAGAACTCTTGTATATGAGGCTTCTTTACATAACATTTGCATAAGAAGTTAAGTTTTTTTGAGAAATTACGTTGGAGTTACTTCAGTCTTTAACCTACTGAACACCAGAACATTATTATCATAGCTATGATTTCAACAGGCATGTAGATTTGGATTTCATCCCTGTGTGGTTTAGACTTCAGTGACAGAAGTTACGTAGTAAGTAGTCACACAGCTACCACACAGCAACTTCCTGTATTTTTGCCTTACCTGAAAAGAAACATCAAACAGTGTCAGAATGCAAGTACAATCAGGACAAAATTAGATCAAATAAGCATTGGTCTTCCTGCAGGATTGTCCATGCTTGACTACAAGAGATCCTGAACTACACAAAAGACACAACTGTGCAGAACCCATGAGGCTAATATGTGCCCATATGTGCTATAATAATATTAGACTGCATGTCTTGAACGTTGTCACAGATGTCATGATAAACGTCATACAGTTTTGTCTGGTTTCAGTATGGTGGGTAGTGCGGTGATGGCTAACCTCTTTACTGAGGACACAGTGGACGATAAAGATGAAAGTGCCCTGCTGAGAGTTGAGGATCAAGAAGATAATCTCTAGCGCCTCACTGTTGGCCGTGAAGACACCCAGGATCCAGGGGCAACCAAAGATGACAAACTGGGCCATGGTTTTAAAGAAAATAGTCCTACAAAGAGAAAAAAGAGAGGATGGACATTCTGCTGATGTTTGTGTCTGTTTAGACTAGAAGTTTAGGGTTTTCTCTTTCTATTTGTTTTGGAATATGGTCCAAAAGTTTGAATGACTAAGTATCTAAAATTTGCAAAACTTTAAGGTAGCATTTCAGTTTAGGTTTGCATTATACTGCCTTCATAATGATATTAAGACTTATCAAGCCAGTAGTTGGTAATTAACCCAGAAATTCATTACTAACTGGAATTAATCAAAGGTATTTTAGATCAAATCTCAAATTATAAGATATATCTTGTTAATAATGCTTTATTGAAATTTAAATTATACCATCAGACAGATAAATTTCACCAGTTTCATAATTCAGATTGACATCTGCCTGTAACTTCATAATAATAATCATCTTACATACTATTTATATACACTAACATAATTTAAGATGTACGGCTTGTGTTACCTGGTTTGTTTTATCTGTGAAACTTGACTGTTCAGGCGAGCCAGAGAAGATCGCAGACTGATAGCAATCAAACTGAAAAGGATCATGTTGGACTGTAAATGTAAAGAAAACTAGGTTATGCTTAGGTTTAACTGTTTCAACAGCTAATTTGTTAGTAATTTAAGAACACTGTTCGCTGATTTGATCCCTTCAATGCCCACCCATGGGTCCAAGGTTTTATAACCTAAGAATAGTTCAACTAGTTTGCATTGAAGTCACTTTAGTTACTGAATAATAAGCATTAGTATGTAATAAACCTGGCATTTTAAGGGGTTAACTGTGACTGTAATGGGTGGTTCCATGTGTACTTACTGCAAGGATGAAAAAAACAGGGCCCAGAAAACTCCAGTTGAAACCTTTGCTTGTCGTAAGCCAGCATCTAAAGAGAGCAAAGGGGTCGATCAATACTTGACTAGTTGTAATGGGGAGATTTTTACTTTGCTTAAATATTATAGAAGTTAATTGCTTGTACTTTTTGCTCAGTTATATTTCCAAAAGGATGTTTTTACTCTTTTTGTTTTCATTTAGACATTCAAAGTACTCATGACAAAACTCAGATCAGGAGATTTTTCTCCTTTTCTCTGACAAATTTGTGTACATTTGGATATATTGCTTTGGTAAAACATTCAAGCAAATTCATATTCAGTGTAAAACAAAACAACTATGATAATTGTCTTTGTGTGAGGACCAGTACCAACAATTAGTCACCACTACACCACATCTGTAATGTCCAGCTAGGCCACCTCCGGCCACTAGGAGGGGCAGAAGAGCCAAGACTAAGTAATTAGGGCTGAGCAGCAGCAGCTGTGGGCACCCTATTTAAGGGGTGATCACATGCCGCTCGCCGCTCAGTCTCGAGTTCACGATGCTACATTCAGGCTGCCTTTAATCTCGGTATCTGTTTCAAGGCTTTGTTTTCTCTAGTTGTTCTCCAGTGTAAGTATATAAAAAATCTATTAAACATTACTCCATGCTTAAGGAGAAGTGAGGGTGAGATCAAAGAAGGAAGTTAACATCACACACCACCAAAAAGAAAACTTTGAATCCCTCTGTTAAAACATTTGCTATGTGCTTTTACATAGCCGAGTATGTTTAAATGCAGATACTTTATGACTTTCACTGTACAAGTGTATTCTTGGCTCCACACGTCCACTCTTAACTGAGTAAGACTTTGATAAAGTACTCATACTCAAGTACTTAAAAATAGAATTTCAACTATAATTTCTTTGTACTTTTTATAGTGCTGCTGATTATTGAAGTACAACAACCAAACTTCATCTCACAACGCCTAATGAAAATAAATCTGAAGACATTAAATTTGTATTATTCTCCACACTCACTCTTCACTGCTGTATCCGTCAGGTACCACTCCAGCAGACATGCCCACCACAACCAAAGCTACCATATATCCAACCGAAGTTAAAAGCTTCCAGTTAAGCACCTCCTTATGCTTTGATTTAGGACGTGATAGGTTCTTTATAGCGAGGAAGAGCATCAGTGCCTCAATGAACATCCACACAAAAGCAGAGAGGAAGAGGAAGTGCACAATGCCTGCCAACACTGCACACGCCAACTGCAGAAAGAGTGAATTAAATACAGAAATATTATTAGTGCTGCAGTTTCCTGCAACTTTACACTATATTATTACAATATACAACTTATTACTGTTTCCTTAATTTTGATGGTGAACTAGAGATTATTTGTTGATATTTCCTTGTCTTTATTATACTATATACACTACATGGACAAAAGTATGGGGAAACCTACACATTACTCCCTCAGAAGCTTTAATGACATTCCATTCTAAATCCATTTGCCTTAATATGGAGTTGGTCCCCCTTTGCAGCTGTAACAGCTTCCACTCTTCTGGGAAGCTTTCTACAAGATTTTGGAGTGTGTCTGTGGGAATTTCTGTCCATTCATCCAGAAGAGCATTTATGAATTGACGAGAGGGCCTGACTCACAATCTCAGTTCTACTTCATCCCAAAGGTGTTTGATGGGGTTGAGGTCAGGGCTCTGTGAGGGCCAGTCATATTCTTCCACACCAAACTCACCCAGCCATGACTTTATGGACCTTGCTTTGTGCACTGGGGCTCAGTCATGCTGGAATAGGAAAGGATCTTCGCCAAACAGTTCCCACAAAGTTGGAAGCGTACAATAGTCCAAAATGTCTTGGTCTGCTGAAGCATTAAGGTTTTCCTTTGACTGGAGCTAAGGGTCTTGGCCAACCCCTGAAAAACAGCCCCATATCATCATCCCTCCTCCACCAAACTTTACAGCGGTCAGACAGGTAATGTTCTCTTGGCATTCGCCAAACCCAGCCTCGTTTATCAGACTGACCGATAGAGAAGCATAATTCATTGCTTTACAGAATATGTTTCCACTGCTTCAGTGGCGGTGTGCTTTACCCCACTCCCCCCCAACCCTTGACTCTGTGCAGTTCTTTTGCTGATGTTGCTTCCAGAGGCTATTTGGAACTCTTTAGTGAGTGATTCAACAGAGTATGGGCACTGTGGGTTTCAGCACTCAGCAGCCCCACTCTGTCAGTTTTGCGTGGTCTACCACTTCGTGGCTGAGCTGTTGTTGCTGTTGTTGAAGAGGCAAGTCTAACAGGAAATTTCACAAACTTACTTGTGGCAGAGGTGGCATCCTGTGACAGTGCCATGTTTAAAGTCACTAAGCTCATCAGTGCGAGCCTCTACTGTCAGTGTTTGTCTATTGAGATTGCAAATTTTTTAAATATTTTGTTGTCTGTGAACAAACCCAGACACGAGAGCTCTTGAGGAGCTCAGGTTGATAAATCACTTCAGATATAGCATAGAATACTAAGTCAATTCTTGGAACAGCAATGCATTTTATTTCACTGTTTAATGTATAGAATTTCCATTCTCTTTCATCTTTTTGTAATAACTGAAACTGTGTTTTGCATAAAAAAGTACATTTCTTTCAAAGTCAAATGTTTTATAGACATGTCAGATTATTTTTCACATGTATTTGTGAAAAAAACTTCATCATATATGAAAAGATGCTTATCTGAAAAAAAATCATGTGATCACATTATTCACATGTTAAGTGTTTGTGTGATCATGTATTTTTCAGACACTTCACATGTGGAATATGTAATTTTTTTGTAAAGGCATTCACTAATAAGTTTGTCTATGTTAGGTTAGCATTACACATACAGTACTGTATTTCATTTCATCACTAAGTTTAGCTTAAACACAGACAATTTAAGCTTGTGAGACTTTCAAATCATATTCTTTATTCCTGTGTTGCATTTTTACTTTGTATCCATCATAAATATTAAAACCTAAAGCCTAACTCTCGTGGAGAAGCTTATTAGCCCATGTTTATCTGCTGGGCTGGTCATTCCAGGCCTTAGCAAGCCATTTTTAATTCTTCAATTTAAAATACAGACTACCATCATCTTCTGCCGTGAAGCTTTATTCTTTTATCTGGGTGCATTAAGTCTGCATGTCTACCATCAGTAGTAGTTTGGGGTTGTGTGCAAAAGTGCAAGCTTTCACAGGAAACAAGAGGCATTCGTGAGATGATGGAAGGCAATCTTCTGCAGGCTTTAGGCATTAGTTCTTTGACATTAGATTGGAGCGTCTGGGCCCTAACCTTTCCTTTAACCTTAACCTATACCCAAAACCTAAACTTACCCTAACACTCATTCTAAACATAGCACTAACTGAAACACTAAACCAAAACCTGACCTTAACACTCACTCCGACTCAAAACTCAAACCTATTCTTAACATTCACTGTAAACCCTGCCCGTAACCTCAACTCTACACGTAACCTATACTGGGAAAATAAAATGGAACCTAACCAAATATTTGGAAAAAATCATTTATAAACAGATTTCATGACTAGATGTGAGTATCTGTAAAAATAATAACCCTTACATGAAGCTACAAATATGCAATAATTTCCTGTGGAGGGTGTGTGTAGGTAATGACACTCACCTGGTATTTTTTCTTCACTAATGTTTGTGTGAGCAGGAAGAGGAGGTGGCCCAATAACAGGCTTATATACAGGTTGATCCGAGCCGTGTTGATCACTCTCGGGTTCTTCCGACAGAGGGCAAAAGTCAACAGAGCCAATCCCAGGAACACCAGCCCAAATGACACGACCACCATGTTGATCACTTCAAAGCGATGTTCACTCTGAAATTAATATTCAGTAGGAAATCTATAGTCAAATTAACCAACAAGTTACAAAAGATAGCTTTTCTTAGACTTATAGAGTGTCAGACATAGATGCCTTAGTTCTAAAACAATTATATAGTAAGACAGCTTTCTGCACATGAGTTATCAGATATGGATACACTTACACTTATAAAGTAACATAAATATCCATACCTGAGTTCTACCACACTTTTATAGTAACATACACCGATCAGGCATAACATTATGACCATTATGATCCTTGTTTCTACACTCATTGTCCATTTTATCAGCTCCACTTACTATACAGGTGCACTTTGTAGTTCTACAGTTACAGACTGTAGTCCATCTGTTTCTCTGCATACTTTATTAGCCCCCTTTTACCCTGTTCTTCAGTGGTCAGGACCTCCATGGACCCTCACAGAGCAGGTACTATTTGGGTGGTGGATCATTCTCAGCACTGCAGTAACACTGATGTGGTGGTGGTGGTGGTGGTGGTGTATTAGTGTGTGTTGTGCTGGTCTGAGTGGATCAGACACAGCAGTGCTGCTGGAGTTTTTAAACACTGTGTCCACTCACTGTCCACTCTATTAGACACTCCTACCTTGTCAGTCCACCTTGTAGATGTAAAGTCAGAGATGATAGCTCATCTGCTGCTGCACAGTTTGGTCATCCTCTAGTCCTTCATCAGTGGTCACAGGACGCTGCCCACAGGACGCTGTTGGCTTGATATTTTGCAACACACAATAACACACCACCACCACATCAGTGTTAGTGTAGTGCTGGGAATGATCTACCACCCAAATAGTACCTGCTCTGTGAGGGTCCATTGGGGTCCTGACCACTGAAGAACAGGGTAAAAGGGGGCTAACAAAGTATGCAGAGAAACAGATGGACTACAGTCTGTAACTGTAGAACTACAAAGTGCACCTATATAGTAAGTGGAGCTGATAAAATGGAAAATGAGCATAGAAATAAGGAGGTGGTCATAATGTTATGCCTTATCGGTGTAGATATCCATACCTGAGTTCTATCACACTTATAAAGTAACATAGATTTGCATACCTGAGTTCTACAATTTACAAAGTAACATAGATACTTGCACATACTACCAACATAGGTTCAAAGTAATGTACATTATATATAACTGGCTTTTTCTCTCTCTCTCTCTCTCTCTCTCTCTATATATATATATATATATATATATGTACACACACACACACACACACATTATGATTTGTTATTAGACCAGGACGCTTTTCGCTGTGGTAGCAGTGTTTGACTAGGTGGTGAGCTGGGACATTTTTCACTGGAGTAGGGGAATCTGATTAGGGCGGTGTTCTCTGTGTTGTCACATGAGCATATACACTATCTTGTTGTAAACTTGATGTTTTGGTAAGATTTATGGTCCATATCCAGAGTAAATCTTCTCTGATTACCTGACATGGGTTGATCTGCATGATAAGAGCGAAGGTTGATAGGTGAGTACTGGAGCACACAGTATGGCTGCTGTTGGTCGTTGTAAGTGTACAGCCATCTGTGACCCAATCAGTTTCATTCCAGTACACACAGGAATGTACATAATTGGGATTCAACGCCTGACCAAGAGACCCAGGGAAAAAATGATAAAAAATAACATCAGCTTTTTTGAAATGTATATGTAAAAAAAGCTAAAATTAAGATTTGGAAAAATATATGAAATCAGTTTAAATGTAAAAATATTATCAAGCAAGCAGAAAGCACAATTGATTGTTTAAACCACTGTGACTATTGTTTTTGAATTGTATCACATTTCTTGGCATAATTTAGATTTCTAATCTGAAACGCAACACACAAACCATTAAAGCCACCATTTGGGTGAGATTAAAATGCAGCCCCAAACTTACTGGATCTTAGATTTTATAAAACCATCTATAATAATAAAATAAAAATAAAAAAACATTTGCCATCACTTTTTATACTATTTATGTCTTTTGCTTAGTGTCAGTTTATAGGTTTGGAGCTTTACTGTGCTAAAGTTTTTGGCCAGATATACTGAGCCTTTTGCACCAGTTTCAGCCACAAAAAAGGATGCATCCTACTCACATGTGTAAAGACCTGGCACCTGTTTTGTTTATTTCTTTAAGGTAAGTTAACTCGTCTTCTACAGAGAACACACTTAAATGTGGCATTTTTCTGCAAATTTGATTGCACAATTTCAACTTATTTACTGAGTTTAACATATTGAAAAAAACAAACATTAATTACAGGTCACATTTTATATTGTTTTATATTATTACATTTCAAGTTCAGCAAATAAACTGTGTTCTCTGTAGTGCGTTATTACATTTTTTTCTGAAATAAAAATGGAGGCGCTCAAAATGTTTTCACAGATGTTATTTGATATCCTGTAAACATTTGCATGAAAATAGAACAGAATGCATAGTTTTGTTCTCTAAACAAGATATTCAGTTTATAGTTACTGACATGAAATGAAAAAAGAGAACCATTTTGTATGTTTTTGCTGTTTCAGAAGAGAATGATAAACGCTTAGGTCCAAATAAACATGTCCGGAGCTATATATACATACATATATACATACAATCAGATGCTATCAGTTCATCTAAAGAGAAAGGAATAACTCACTTTAAGATGCTTCAGGGTGAAATTGACTGGTGTGTCGAGGCTTCTGTTTTTGGTTTTTGGGAGCGTGGCTGAAACCACAGCGGATGTGATGCATTTTGTTGTGTTGAATGTATTGGCATTGAACAGGCTCAAATTCGACATGTTGGTGTAGCTCATGAAGGCTACAGCAGCGTGCCCTAAAACACAGATTAAATACCATACAATCATTATACAATATCATTTTTTTTCCATTGCATTTTTTCAAGCATTTCTAAAACTGCAGTTATAATATATGGAAAAAGTATGACTATTAACAACCATGCAAGACCTTTATGTATAAATGCTCAGGCTGCTGCATATTATTATTTTTGTTATTAGTTTTTTTAATTATTGGATTTTTATTTTCTAGTGTGATCAGATTTTCACAAGTCATAACAACAGATAAAGACTACCAAATGAAACAAATAACACAAACTATTTGTATAGTTTTTCATTATTTTCTTGAGCAAAGTGATCTAACATTTAATGTCTATTGGCAAAAATATGAGATCCTTTGTTTTCAGTAACTATTGTGACCACCTTGGGTAGCAATGAATTGTCTTCTGCTTTAAGCATCCTTTCTTGATTAACTGGTGTTTTTAGCGTCATTGTCATTCTGCAGGACTCAGTTCATGGATGGATGCCCAAACATTCTCCTGTAAAATGTCCTGATACAATCAAATTATGGCAAGCTGTGACAGTCCAATAGCACCAGAACAGCCCCAATCCATGATACTGCCACCATCATGTTTCACAGCTGGGAGGAGGTGCTTATGCTGGAATGCCCTGTTCAGTTTTTGCTGAACATAAGAACTCTCATTTCAGCCATAAAGATCTTCTCTGTCCATATAACATAATTTAAATGATCTTCTGGCACCAGGTGGTCTTTAGTTAACTAAATATTGGCTTTCTCTGTGCTGTGATTTCTTACATACTATTTTTATTACTATTATTATTATTATTATTATTATTATATTATTTACACTTGGAGTCATTTTTGTTGGATGACCACTGCTGGGATGAGTAACAATGGTGATGAATTTTCTCCTATCTGCCTCACAGTGGATTAGTGAAGTTGTTTGGCAATTGTTTTCTCAGGTCTTCAGAAATCTCCTAGGGTCAGTTACACTGACATTTGATTGTCAAACAATTAATTGGACCTCCTGACCCTAATAGATTACCAAACTGATACTTCTAGCAGTTTACATGCTTTTGCCAACCAACCAAAATAATATAGGATCATTTTGTTTAGTAAATGAATGAAAAATTACGTATGCAAGTTTGGGGTTTATTTCATTGGGTTCTCTTTTTCAATTGTTATGAGCCAAATGAAAATTTGATCACATTGTAGGTCACTTATATCCCAAATTTCGCATGATTGCGAAGGGTTCACAAACTTTCAAGCAGCACTGTACCTAAGAGGAAGACAATAATACAGGTTGGTACCAATGTCACTAACACTGATCATACCTTGATTAATTTTATTTCTCGAAATCCCATTCAGATCCATGTCCATTTTAGCATGTGGTGTGTGAAGCTGAAGCATTTCCTTTAAGGAAGAATTTTGTCCAACTACAAAAACACAAACCTCTAACAGAGAAACATAATGTAGGTAAGTGGGTTCATATACAAATATGTGCATTGATGAGCAGCACAATACAATGCATGTCTATGTGGTTACCTATATTTTTAAGGGAGATGCTAACAGAAGAGTTGGTCTCTACTGTCTTCACCAAAGTAGACACCAGTTTCTCAGTGGCATTCAGCATTCTATTGAAAGAGGAAACTAGTCCATCTTGGTTAGTTTTTCCAGTAATGAGACTGTTTTGTTGAGTGATAAGGTAATTCAGTGTGTCCTCCACATCCTGTTCAACAATAAGAAAGAAGCTGAAGTGTATATACAAAAGCCAAATGCTATTGGCTAAGACAAATAGGTCATAAAAGTGTTAAAACAGCATTTAGAGAAACCAGTCAGAAGCATCTGAGTAATAGTTTACTTCTAAATGACCTATTAGGTCCAAAAATATTACTTACTTTCTTTGGTAACACTTGATCTGTGATGTTGTCAATCTGACTCAAGAGGTTGTTTGTACAGTCTAGGGTGGCATTAGCCTAGGAAAAAGCAAGTAATATTACACTTTGAACTTTGTACAGTTAGTTAGGGCTATTGAGAGATTTGGAGAAGTCAATATGCTTCACAGTAACGTGTCTCCAGACCTTGCAAGCTTCAAGAGTCTTGATAATCAGACCTGAAATGAGAAAGGTTGTTATAAGAACAGGACTTAAAATATTATCCTGGTATAACCAAGAAACCATAATTTCATTTAACTGGAGAACTCTGAGTAAATCTTCAAACGATTTATGAATAGGATGTGAAATAATCTGACACCACGGCTTTTGTCATTATTTAGGAAATGCATTTACTTAGTCATGACTACAGTCCATTTCAAATGACCTCTGACCATCTTAAGGGTGGACAATAAATCAAACATGCCCCTAATTTATGAAGCACTCTAGGAACTTATGGAAAGATTTAATAAAACATTCCCTGATTAATAATCAATAGACTAAATTTTGGCCAACTTGAGCATTTGGAGATCTCCTAAAAAAGGTAAGATTGGGAAACAGGCTATGCATGCATTTGGAATATCACCTCTAAAAGAGGATGAACTCACAAAAAAGAAACTGAACAAATTGCAGCTACAAGTTATGGTTGAAAGGAAGGGAATTGTTGGATGACAGTATAAACTATAGCTGAAGTGAAAACTAATAAAAGGGAATTGTATTAGATGACTAAGATGATATGGAATTTTGTAAAAGGGGTGGGGTGATTACTTCATCACCCCAAAGGGCAATAAATAGGGATGCCTTGAGATTATCTTTGCATTGTGGTTGTCCGGAAACCATCTTGCCACTTAAAGCTCAATAAAGAGAAGGCCTTTTCCTTCCTTCCACAAGAACCGGAAGTCTTTTTATTCTTTATACTTCTTTTTTATTCCTTTTCATCCTTTTTACTTTTTGTTGATAGTTTTAAATCTTTCAAAGTAAGACTATAGATAGTTATTAGGGCAATAGCATACAATTTATTAGAGATGCTCATAAATGTCTAGGCCCTGGGCAGAAGAGACAGCTCTTGGTCACGACAGAACACTGGGTTGTCTGGCTCGTATAAAATAAATAACAGACTACTTGATAGGACATACTTTTTGTACAGGCTTATAATGGGGAAACTCAGTGAAATGCATATTATTTACACCATCACAATGTTTTAAAGTTTGTTTTTGCCTCCTGGATATTGCATAGGGACCTGCAATTTTCAGGCTATAGGATGGGATAGATGGGAGTTTGCTAAAAGAATCATAGCACTAAGTGAATCATAAATATAGCCTGAAAGTGAAGTATGATCACTGTTGTTTTTCTTTCTGCTAGAGGCAGTATGTAGCACAGAAGAGTTGAAACAGAAGCTCAGAATGCTACTAATGACTGTTAACACTAAATCTTAATCAGATGTCCCTGAGTTTACTATTCTTGATGTGGTGAGAGCTTAAAAGTTCCTGTGAAACTTTTTTTTGACACACGGACATCATAGCTGGGGGGGTTAGTGAAACTGAGTTCCAAAGGACCCTATTTGAAGATGGCCCTCAAGTGTCTAGAGCTAAAAGTTTTACTTTCTTGTACAAACTTAAATTTGCCAACATGGACAAAAAGGGACTTCATCTGCATCATCATTTTTTGGCGAAGGAACTAAGGGAGCTTAGGCAGTACTCATGTGCCCAAATATGCCCTAAGATAAGTTCTGTGGGTGCACATTTAAAGCTACTTTTTTACATGTTTAAATGTGTTTTTACCTCTCTAAATACATATGAACTGAAAGCAAATGTAGGTCAAAGTTTCCATGTAAATATATAGCTGAAGTTGTAGTAGGTATTTTTCACATTCAACAGATAAAAAATGAATGATATTTGAATTAAACAGCCTAAGTTGCATTACCACTAATAAGATAAAAAAAAAAAAAAAAGCTATTAGTCTTATTTCCAGTTTTCCTTAAAAAATGGTCAGGCACAGCGTGAAACAAGGCAATCACTGAATAAATTTACTTTTGCTTTAGTCATTCAAAAACATTATCCAATATTTATGTAACTATATAAACTGCAGGCCATAGAAAAAGTAACTCTTAATGGAGCACAAGTAAACTTTAATACATTTTCATCAAGCAATACATCACTAAATAGAGCATCATTATAACTTGTGTAGTCAGCAGTCATCATGTCAGTATTCACCTTCTGCATTAACCACCCTAAGAAATTTTAAACCCTGGTAAAAAAGTTATTTTATTAAATTAAAAAAGTTTATTAAATTAAAAAAGTATTATTATTAAATTACCAGGAGTAGAAGAAGGTGGAGAAGCTGTTGTCCCAGCTGAGGTTTGTTCAGGGATCCCTACAGGAGTTAGGAAAAGTAGTCTGTTAGGTCTTCTCTCTTGTATTAGTAGCCTAACCCAACTATTTCAATGAAAGCTTGTGAAATAACCTGAAGTACACTATATTGCGAAAAGTATTCGCTCGTCTGCCTTCACATGCATATGAACTTGTGTGACATCCCATTCTTAATCCAGGGTTTAATATGATGTCAGCCACCCTTTGCAGCTATAACAGCTTCAACTCTTCTGGGAAGGCTTTCCACAAGGTTTAAGAGTGTGTTTATGGAAATTTTGGCCATTTTCCAGAAGCACATTTGTGTGGTCAGACACTGATGTTGGACAAGAAGGCCTGGCTCGCAATCTCCGCTCTTATTCATCCCAATGGTGTTCTGTCGGGTTGAGATCAGGACCCTGTGCAGGCCAGTCAAGTTCTTCCACACCAAACTCGCTCATCCATGTCTTTATGGACCTTGCTTTGTGCACTGGTGCGCAGTCACAATGTTGAGAGCGCAAAATTGTCCAAAATCTCTTGGTCTGCTGAAGCATTAAGAGTTCCTTTCACTGGAACTAAGGGGCCAAGGAGCCCAACTCCTGAAAAACAACCCCACACCATAATCCCCCCTCCACCAAACTTTACACTTGGCACAATGCAGTCAGACAAGTACCGTTCTCCTGGCAACCGCCAAACCCAGACTTGTCCATCGGATTGCCAGATGGAGAAGCGTGATTTGTCACTCCAGAGAACACGTCTCCACTGCTCTAGAGTCCAGTGGCGGCGCTTTACACCGCTGCATTCTATGCTTTGCATTGCGCTTGGTGATGTAAGGCTTGGATGCAGCTGCTTGGCCATGGAAACTCATTCCATGAAGCTCTCTATGCTGTTCTTGAGCAAATCTGAAGGCCACATGAAGTTTGAAGTTCAGTTTGCATGCCTAGGTGCTTGGTTTTATACACCTGTGGCCATGGAAGTGATTGGAACACCTGAATTCAATTATTTAGATGGGTGAGTGAATACTTTTGGCAATACAGTGTACCTGCTAAAGCAAAAGTCATTTGTCCTGTTGTATCTATTTGTTTTATTAGCTGGTACATGACCAATCAGGATTTCTTTCACAGTGGGATCCCAACGTTTGTATGACATATTTGCATAATGCAGGCTGGGTATTGTAGCAACAGATCACTTGGATAAAAACACAAATGCCACTTTAAGAAATCATTTGAAAATTTCTTATGTTTATGTATTGTTATTGTGTTGCTGTCACTTGACAATAAGCTCCATTGTGACTATTTGTTTTAGTTTTAGTGTTTGAGAGATATTCAGACTTTATCTATCAGGTGTGAATGTGAAAGAGATAGAATTCAGCAGTTTACCTTTAACAGTGAGGCTGAAGTTCCTGTACTGATTCTGGTTTATCCAGCATGAATATGTTCCTCCGTCCTCTTCAGTCAGGTCTGAGATCAGTACAGAGAGATTTCCTGGAGAGCTCTGGTTAAACGTCTGAACTCAGCCACTGTAGCGCTGATGGAGATCTTTGTGGTTTGGTGTTCTCCACTGAACTCTCTCAGGTCTGTCCTGCAGGTCAGTGCAGGAGCAGGACAGAAGAACAGACCCTCCTGAGGATCTACCGACTGGAACAGTCTGTTTATTCTCTGACAGAGTGCAGCCTAAAACAACAACACACAGTCTTTAACTGACCGTCATTCTTCATACATTTACAAAAGACATTTATATTCTCAGATTGAGAATTTAATCAGAAAAAGACCAGGCTCAACTTTTAAATCTACCAAATCCATTAATCTGTCAACAATTATTTTGCTTGATTTAGTGCTTTTAGAACAGATAATCACGAATTCAGTTTCATTCAAATTCACTGTAATGTTGAAATAGAATAAAAATTGTTTAAATGGGATAATATTTTATCATTTAAATGTTCTGGTTTGTGTGTAACAATATTACAATTATGTAAAGTGCTAAACTAAATTTTATATAATGTGTGTGTGTGTGTGTGTGTGTGTATATACACACACCCTGAATTCCAAGGGAGATGTGACTCATGTGACTGTGGAATTATTGGGGTTCATTTCTTGTTTTTAATCTCTATATACAGAGATTTCTCTTTCAGGTTGTGTTGGTGTAGTCTCACTCAGAAAAGCTGTGCAATTCTGGCTTCATTTCTTAGCACGAACTCTTCACGTCTGAGAGAACTGGACCTGAGTAACAATAAATTGCAGGATTCAGGAGTGCAGCTCCTCTCTGTTGGACTGGAGAATCCACACTGTAAGCTGGAGATACTGAGGTGAGATCATGACTTTCTCACAGATGTGTACTTGACCTAAATAGCTAGCCATGCAAACTTTGCAAGTGTGAACATAATAGTGTGAACATAATCGTCTTTCAACATTTTCCGGTTTAAAAATGTGGTATATTGCCTTTTTTGCTTCTAGCTGTGTAGTCTTCAGCTTGCTAACCTGCAAGTTAGCAGAGTAAGGTAACAAAGTTGCATCTACAGTCATGCATAATGGTTGTAATAAAAATAAAATAAAAAAGCCCTTGTGAAGTGTTTATATAACTAGTAGTTGATTGCACATCATAATCCCTTGCACATATTAGGCATCCATTATTATGCTCTTATTAAGCCTTATCAAGCCAATAGTTGGTAACTAATTTACCAAGCCATTAACTACTAAATAACTGGCTGCTTGTTTTTAAGCATCTCGGTAATAAATAGTAAAAAAAAAAAACTGGTAATAAATAAAGGAGGCCTTCATGGACAATGCTTAATAATGCAGTAATGAAGTTATTTAAGAACTATTGACTGGTTAATGTGT